TGTTTGTTGAATGATGTTTAAATGTTAGCATTTAGACAGTTTGAAAACATCTCAATAAAAACTGGTTTGCACATGCACTTCAAATTTTCTTACAGATGTATATAAAGCTTCATATTTTGAGAATTTCATTATATATATGATACACACATCCTTTACAATAAAGTTTTTACATCATACATTTTATCAAACAATACAAATATTATATCAACAGTCTGAAAAACACAATATTATTCTTCTTATGCTTTTTCTTAATATCTCTGTATATCCTTATGTTTTTTTTCAAAAGAGGAGCTTGTCTTGGCTTATTAGTAATTGTTCAGGCAGAAGCTCCCATAGTCAAGATTCAAATTCATAGCTTGAAAAGCAGGCAAGCGGTTGATTTCAATTCAGAGTCGTTGGCATTATGACAGGGATAAAACAGGATACTACTGTAACCCTTAGAAGGGACTTCTGTCCCAAATTTGTTTCAGTGTTTGAGGTACTTCAGTGGAACTGATATGTAAGGTAACACCTGTATATCAATGCAGCAGGGGTGCAGTTCCTTCTTCTTCTCTTTGCAGCATGATGAACTTCTACCTTTCTTTCAGGCCTGAATACCTTTGGCAGACTCAACATAGGAATAGATTCAGAAAATTCTGAAATGAACCTTATAGTTGTAATTTGTCTCTTGATTATACAAGCTTGGATAAATAAATTTTGGGTATGGATTAAAACCTTTTTCACTTTTCTCATTGAAAAGCTCTTTTAAACGATCACATGGGTGATTTCAATAAAGAGTAGGTTTTTACAGATCTCTAACATCACATCTCCATATAAAGTCTGCTGAGAAGGGTCCAGGAATTTCCATTCCTCTTCTGAAAATTCAATGACCACATCCCTTAATGGCAATGGTTTCATTTTCTGGATTTCAGGATGCTTAATGTTCCCCTTATATTTTTTTTCAGCTCCAGTGTAGCACAAAAACCACAGTAAAAATACTTAATTATTTTCCTACCTTATATTCTTTCTTATCACCTTCATTAGGAACCTCTCATGATGCCTCCTCCGCCGCCACTACCGCCCTACAGTTAGTTTCATGACTCAATTTCATCAAAAATCTCACGAGCTTCATTCTAGCGGCGCTGTTACCCCCTTGGTCCGATAGTGCATAATATTAGACAAGCGAAGACCCACCAACTAAGAGTTATGAATAGCGGGAAATGCCTACTCTGGAGGCTCCAGACGTAAAGAGCGCCTCACCAGTCTTATATATATAATTTTCTTTTTAACTTAGAGACAGGGTCTCACTAAGTTGCTTCGGATCTTGCTAATTTGATGAGGGTGGTTTTGAACTCGAAATTCTCCTGCCTCACCTCCTGAGCCACTAGGATTACAGGCCACTGCCCCGAGCTCATCCCTGTTTTCTGTTGGGGAATATAGTTTCTATAGCTCTGCTATGCTATTTGTTGCTTCTCTTCTTTTCCTAGTAACCCCAACTTCAGATACTATAGCCACTTAGCACAAAGGTCCTCTGCTTATTCACATCATCATTTGAGATTACCTCCCTGGCATATGATTAGTAGGGGGAAAAAAAGGCATATGGATCCCATACTTCCCCTTCTGGGAAAGAATTGAAAAGCTTAGGTGAATATAAGACCACAGGAAGACAGACTCAGGGCTCTTCTTGGAAATCCTTGGTGAGAGATATTTCCATCTTGCTTTATAGATTCTCATCCTCTGAATCCCAGCCCAAGGCCAGAGATTCATTTTCCATCAATTCTTCTAGCCCAGGAAGACAGACAGTGGGATGGAAAACCTAAAGTGTACAGAGTAGGAAACCTGTCCATCAGTGTCCAGGCAGGTGTCACTATATCTGTGGCACCTTATGGAGGAAGAGATGGTGTGAAGGAAAAGTAGGAGAATAGATAGAGCACGGAGCATGACATCAAGTGTCGGAGTCATCTTCCCATTTATTACCAACTACAACTAGTCAGTGGCACAAAACAGGAATAGCCTCAGTCTCTGATCAAAGATGGGAGACAGCTTAGGGAGATAGCCACAGTAGTGTCTACTCTCTTCCCAGATATAGAGAGCCCTAGTTAACAATCAGGTCAGAAACCAAGTGAGTTTTTTGTGTTCCATTTTATTCAGATTGTACCATTTCTCCAGCCCCTCTCATCTTCATTCCATCAGCAAGCATGGAATTCCCATTTAGTTCCACACACTGTACAAAGGCCCCACTTGAATTGCTTCGCACTATTCTGGCTCTGTTTGGGTAGAATGATGGAGAAAAGCAAGATCCTCCACCACAGGCTGAGTCTCCTTGTCTGTCACAGTTCAGGCCTGACTTCTTCTATACATTTGGGATCTATCTATGGAGGTGAATAGAGTCATAAAAAGTGGGAGTAGACTGCAGGTAGAGCCAAGCCTGAAGAGGTTAGTCGGGTGTACTCGTGCCTGGGAGGTGAAAATGGGGTAATGGGATTGGCACAAGTAAAGAGCCACCTAGGGGCAGAAGGTGGAGACGCCTTGGTCAGAGATGAGTCCTGTAGCACTGTTTGGCCATCTGAGGATACACTGTTTGGCCATCTGAGAGAGCACCTTCATTCCTATGGGGATACCCTCTCGGGGTCCACCTTCCTCACTGCCCCTGCCCAGAAGAGCTGAAGCAAGTGCCTAAGCCTCTGAGCAACCTGCTGGGTCCGTACTCCATAGACTACAGGGTTAAGGGCTGGGGGAACCACCACGTAGAGATTAGCAAGTAGGATGTGGATGTGGCCAGGCACTGTGTGGTGGCCAAAACGGTGAGCCAGGAAAGAGAAGAGGGCAGGTGTGTAGAAAAGAACAATGACACTGGCATGTGCCCCACAGGTACCCAGGGCCTTGTAGCGGGCACCATGGGATGGCAGGCAGCAGACAGCACGGAGAATAAGGACATAGGAAGCACCTATGAGCCCTAGGTCCAGGCACGGGGAGAGCAGTGTGGTGGCCAGTCCATACCAGATGTTGGGGCGTGTGTCACCACATGCCAGGCGAGCCACACCCATATGCTCACAGTAGGTGTGAGGCAGGGCCCGCTGCCCACAGTAAGGCAGTCTTTGAAGCAGAACCACAGGGGGCACCATGACACAGGCACCTCGAGCCACTGCAGCTATACCCACTATGCCTACCACACGCTGGGTCAGCAAGGCCCCATAGCGCAGAGGCTGGCAAATAGCCACATAGCGGTCCACAGCCATGGCCAGCAACACTGAGGATTCAGCAATGAAGGCCACATGGGCAACAAAGAGCTGAGCTAGACAGGCCCCAAAGGAGATCTCACTTGACAAACCCCAGAGCACAGCCAGGGCTTTGGGCACTGTGGATGTGGCCAGAATCAAGTCAGCAGCTGCCAGAAGCCCCAGCAGTTGGTACATGGGAGCCCGGAGTGCTTTGTCCACTGCTACCAGTCCCAGTAGAAGGGCATTCCCTACCAAAGCTGCCATGTACAGCAGGCACACAGGCACAGACAGCCATGCATGCAAGGCCTCCAGTCCCGGCACCCCCAGCAGGACAAAGGGTCCAGGGGCAGAGACTAGCACAGTCTGATTGACAGCAGACAGGGCAGGATCCAGCTCCATTTCCTGGTTTCACCAGGCTCTGTACCTGCAGGGCACAAATGGGGCATGTGAGAGGCAATTGCCAGTGTTACTGAGATTATAGTGAGGTAGGGGCAAGGATGAGGGGTTAAGATGCTGTAGCATTTTCTGAACTCCAAATCAGGTACTGTTATGGGATTTGTCATACACTGAACAATGATTTCCTAAGAATTTTGTGGGTTCACTAACTTTCCTGTATGATTCATGAAAGAATTTGGTTTCTGAGATGTTAACATACTCCCAGTCACACAGGTAGTAAGTAAGAGAGCTAGGATTTGAGCCAAACCTCCTCTGACCAAACATCCTGCCTCACTCACATCCCCACATCCTGACTCCTGCAGAGATGAGGCACATCCAAGCACAGACTAGACTTTCCCACGGGAGAGTCTTATTGGTTTAGGAACCTGAGCTTCCTTCTGAAGTGTGAGGTTTTACCTAGACATGGGGCCTGGCCCTGTCTTGCTTACCACAGGGCCATACTGGCTCCTCTAGTCCTGGAAACATTTTGTCATGGCCTCACAGGGGAGACTATCTTATGAAAGTCCTTTTTTCAGGATGAAATGTCCCCACATCAACCTAGACACATGGGAAGTCATTCATGTTATCTAAGTCTAATCCATGCAATGGTAGCACAGCACCTGTGTTCCCTGCACCCTAGGGGACATGTAAGTCAGGGGGAAGGAAATAAGCTATGGCTATTTTTCAATCCACTCACTGACCGATGCTCAGACAAAACTCTTGTTTCATGATCCCATGATCCATTTCTGGAAGGTTTTGTGTGTTTGTTATTTGTTTGTTTTAGCTCGGAAACCACTCTCCCAAACATTATGCCCCTCCCAGTCTGTCCACGACATTTTCCAGTTGCCCATGACACCCCTCCCTCTAGCTGTAGGTACCTGCTTCATGAAAATTAATCCCTTCTTTGACCAATACAGACATCCACCCTCTGACTCAGTTTCATAGCTCCCTTTTCCTCTGCTCTTTGCCCATGGGAAGATACTTCTGGTTCTACAAAAAAATAAGCCTGGGAAAATTTGATGCCCACCAAGGATACAGAGTATCAAGTCTGGGCTGCAGAGGAAGGGACAGAGATCAGATGCCACAGTGACAGTGCCATTGGCGGTCAGGTTAAAATGTGATTGTGGGAGGGAGGGCAGACTTTACTGACCTGGGTTTTAAGTGGATAAATAAAACAGGCTGGAGAAGGATCTGAGGTAAGATGGGGTTTCCATGCTCTATCTGAGGACCACAGATTTGTCTTTGAATTTCTTGAGACTGAGGAACCTGGGGCAGGTGAGCAGAGAATGGGTGAGGAACTAAGCTCCCCTCAGAGCCCTCCCTGCAGCACTGCTTCCTGTGCCGCATCCACATCTCCACACCCTGACTCCTGCAGAGACACCTCCAAGCAGACTAGACTTCCCATGGGGGAGTCATATTGGTTTAGGTACCTGAGGTTCCTTACAAAGGGTGAGGCTTTGTCCAGTCAGGGGCCCTGGCCCTGACTTGCTCACGACAGGGCCCTTCTGTCCTCTCTAGACCCTGGAAATATCCTTCCATGGCCCAGCCTACCACAGGGCAGGCCCAGTCTTTAAAAGGGAAAGAGGAATCAACTCCCTCAGCAGCTGGGAATGCCTCTTCCAAAATCACAGGGCAAGCACAACCTGCACCCAAACAAGGGCCTCTTAAGAAAGCCCGTATACCTAGGTTGTGGGTCTACTAGCACACTTCCCATTGGCAAAATTCCACAGATGATTACCCTAGTTCCTCCATGTCTGTAGCATACATTTCTTTAAATTTCCTCCCATAGCCTGAGGGAAGTGGGGACAGGGAAGCAGGGAACCCTCCTCACACCCTCCAGCCTCCACTCTGCTCCCTATCTGGTTCTCTGCAGGCATAGCTGCATCCTCCTCTTCTTCTACCTGCCTGCTCTGTTCTCCTGCCTTCTACTCCCTCACTGTGTCCAGACCTTACCAGCCCAGCATCCTCTGCAAGTCACAGTTCAGACAGGGGCATGTTTCAGGAGAAGCAAAGAGGCATCTCCACTCTCCCTGAGATGCATGGCACAGGACTGGCTCTGGGCTGTGGCTCAGGGTCTTGGATCTTCTCCATCATGGTAATGTTGCTGAAGATGTGTTATGTTATCTTGTGCTTCTTCCCAGGGTCAAGAAACCCATGCACAAAAAAGACAGAATCACATAGAGCTGTGACCAAGAACAAAATTTCTTGAATTCCAGTCCAGGACTGTTTCTTCTCCCAGGTTCTTTGCCTCCGTCCTCATGTGACAGCATCTTTCTTCAGAAGCAGATGCTTGTGCCACTCACACAGACACTAAATTGCCATATGCTTCTGGGTTTCTATTTCTACTCTAAGGGTGTCTTTTTGTTCTAACTCTGCTCACACATGACCTCCTTTTTACCAGCCTGGGTCCTTGGAGCATGGGCGGTAGACAGACCTCTAAGAGCCCATGAAGACTGAGACTTGTCCCTGACCATCTGTTACCTCTTCCCCACAGGGTTCAAGGCCAGAGCACACAATGAGGTCACCATCTATCTTACCTTTCTTCAGTTTATCGTTCGCAGGATGAGTGTTTCTCCTTGGAGACATTCTACTCAGAGTGCCTCATATACTGAGTCCTGTCTAGAAGACTTGAGGGAAAAGGTATTCCCTCCAGGTTAGAGTAGAACATCAAAGAACATATAGTAAATGCAGGTAGTTACACTAGGAGAAAAGAAGGAACAGAAAAAGAATGCATAAAATGAATTTGGGATGTATCAATCACTTGGAACCATGATTTAGTCAGAAGACATAGTCTCACCTTGATTTCAGAAGAGGTAGGGTACTGATGAAAACAGAATGAAGCTATATTTTTTTGTTCTTGTTTATTCTTATTTTAGCACAGTTATAAAATCCATAGTAGAATCTAAAGCCAGATTATCTAGGCTCA